CATAATCTTTAAATTTTAGATCCCCATTTTGCAATTGCTTGGAGATTTCTCCTTCCTCTTCATTACGTAGATCAACACCTGCATCGCCTCTTTGGCTCATGTCAGTGAGGTGAGAAGAGAAGTGAGAGATACTAAAACAGGGTCACTTGGCAAACAAACAGATTTTGGCTGTGGAAGAACAAGGGTGTTGCTTCCCTTTAGAAGTGCCTGATCGTGTCAGTATGGTAGGATTATATGACATTTGACTGTGGATTATCCTGTAAACTAAACCCAATTGGATACAAGCTTTGCAAACGCACTTTTAACTGAAAGATGGAGCCAAACATAATGCCACAACACGTACTGTACGTGTTGAGCCTGATCAGTGATAAACTATTGTTTTGATATGTAAGAACTCATGTAGTTGGCTGTTCTGTCACAAAATAATTTATTTCTGCTTATGCATTGATAAAACAGCCAACCAAAACTCTTATCTACATCATGTCTACACTTGTTATATGATAGCATTGGCGAGAGTCTTGAGCATTGAATTCATGCGATCAGCACTGGCTAGAAGGCAAGTTGGACGAGTGCTTCCTGCAGCACAGAGAGCAACCTCATCGCCGGGGTCTACCATTTTTTCCCGATTTACACAACCTCTTTTTTTACCACTACACCTCTGACACCATAAATTGGAGTTTTCTGCCAGGCCTCAAGGGTCACCACGTTCTTGTGAGATCAGATAATATGTCAGGGGTGTCCTATCAAAATCATCAGGGGGGTATGAGATCACGCCCTCTATGCAGAATGGCGCATCAGATCCTCCTGTGGTCCCAGGGGAGACTGTTGTCTCTCAGAGCAACATACATCCCAGGGGACCGGAATCGGGGAGCAGACACCCTGTCGAGGCAGGGGCTGGTGAAGAGGTGGTGAAGTCGATATGTGAGAGGTTCAGCCCAGTGGAAGTGGATCTATTCGCATCTCGAGAGACGACACACTGTCCACTGTGGCATCCAGCCCCTCTGGGCGCCTGTACGCATTTCCTTCGATCACTCTGCTCCCGGTGGTTCTGGAGAGGGTCTGTCGCGACGGGATCAGTCTACTCCTAGTAGCCCCATTGTGGCCTGCCCGAGTATGGTTTTCAGACATAATATCACTCCTGGACAGTTCACGAAGGGCTGGTCAAGACCCCCTTCGAACCTCTAGAGTCGGCTGAGGCCAAGAAACTTTCCCTCAAGGTAGCTTTTCTATTAGCCATCACGTCTCTAAAACGAGTAGGAGATCTTCAGGCCCTCTCAATATCTTCCGAGTGCCTGGAGTTTGCTCCTGGGAATATTAAGGCTTTCTTGCATCCCAGGCCCGGCTATGTCCCTAAGGTGCCTTCTAACACGGCACTGCCTACGGTTCTGCAGGCATTCCATCAACGGTAGATGATGAGAGACTTAATTTGCTCTGCCCTGTCAGAGCTCTCAAGATTTATGTTCAGGGGTCTTCTCGATGGCGGAAGTCGGACCAGTTGCTGGTGTGTTTCGGGTCTCCCAAGAAGGGGCTCCCGGCCTCCAAACAGATCATCAGCACCTGGATAGTTCAGGCTATTTCCTTGGCCTATCAGGTGCGCAGCTTGCCTTCACCTTTGGCCATGAGGGCTCACTCAACCAGAGGCATGGTGCCCTCTAGAGCCCTCCTCTCAGGGGCCCTTATCCAAGAAGTATGTGATGCAGCTGGGTGGGCCACCCCTCATACACTGATGAGATTTTATATTCTGGACCTTCCTTCAGCGCCAGGTGCACGAGCGCTCTCGTCCTAAGTGTGCCTGTTTCAACCTCACACTAGGACAGGAGGGGTTCATTGTGGCAGAGTGAGTATTCTTTCCCCAAATTGTAGTTACGACTGTAAGGGAACGTCTCGGCTTACGAGTGTAACACTGCGTCCCTTTGCCACGCCTCCCCCTGCCTGGGAGCGACTTGCTTCATCACAGAAGCTAACTCTGTTGTGTGCCGGCGTCCCTTTGTAGCTTCCGTGTATGCATTACACGTAACGTCATGACGCAACATAAATCACGATTGACTTAGTTCAGAGGCGTTACGCTGGGGGGCGTTCCCCCAAAGTGTCGTTACGACGCAGTTTCTCGTTCCCTTCTCAGGGAAAAAAGGTTACAGTCGTAACACGAGATGTTTTATTTCATATGCAAAGATTTTACCCAGTCATAGCAGGCACTGAAGGTCAAGAGGGTCAAAAGGGTCTACTTTTGATGTAATAATAATCTCACCAACATTATTAAGTCAACCTCAGGGAACAGTATTAAAAACTATTAAAAACATTATTTGTGACTCATTTAAATATAATGCCATTTTCATACAAGTTAATTTGATTCTTTAGGGCCGGGCTATTCAATTGGCGGCCCCCGGGCCGGGTCCGGCCCCTGAGGGATTTTGAATCGGCCCTTTAGGTGTAATTTGCGGGTGCGAATTGTCCCCACCACTTTTGAAACATCTCGCGGCACGAATGTAGCCTATACAAATAAATAAAAAATGTCGAGTTAACTAGCAGAGCATTCATTTAGTTCGTTTGTTAAATAAGAGGCGATCTAGCGCTGAAATGTGTTGTTTTTGAAATCAAGTGATCAAAGTGCTCGTTGCCGCAGCGATCAGTGGAGCGGATACAGTGTTCTCTTGTGGCTCGCGCAGTCTTGACACGTACGCGCGCTTCAATCCGTTGTGGAGTCGTCTCGTCTATTCGTTCCGGTGAAATTACAAAACAAAATGCACACAAACGTGTCCCTGCCTCATATTCAACCACTGATAAACATAATCAGTTTTGATGAGAAAAAGAAAAAAAACCTATTCATCTCCGGATTAGAACCCACACCCTCTGACACGCTTGGCAAGAGTTCTGCCACTGGACCATTTAAATACACTCTTGAATTGGTCGGATATATATATTCATTCACGTGAAAATTCTCGCCACTGACAACATATATTACTGACCTTATTTAAAGACATATTAAACCACTTTTTAAAACAAATTTACGCCATATGTAATAACTACGAGTGTAGTTATTACATATGGGTAGTGTCATATAGCGTATGACTATGGTTAAATAATTGTAAATTATTTCATGCAGTAGCCTATGAGGCGAAATTGAAATAGAAAATAGAATATATTGATTCCTTCAGTATGTTGTTGTAATTTCTTTATTTGTTACCATAATTACTCATATTCTCTGGCCCCTTATTTTGCTTCAGTTTCATGAACTGGCCCCAATTCCAAATTAATTGAATAGCCCTGCTTTAGGGTCTAAATGAAAAGTTAGTAATATACTTTAATTAAAAATTCTCATTAGTATTGTAAGAAAACACTTATTTTACCTGGACAAAAACAGCTCTGTTTTCAGCACGCCGTTTCAGTGCATATGCCTTTAAATGATAATGAGCTTCGCTGACTCCGCCCCTCTTTCGACAACGCACGTGGAGTGTTGCCTTGACAACAGTTGAGGGTATATTTTAGAGAGAATGACAGCGGGAGTCTCTGAGGACACATCTGTGCAACCGTATCAGTTTGAACCGGAGTCGGACACGGAACAAGATGACGGCCCGAAGAAGTTCGACAATTAAGGCTCGAACAGGACGTTTCTGAACGGTTGGTTAACATAATGTCACTTTGATCTATCTTTGTATGTAACTTACTGGCAGGGTAACGTTAGAGTAACTTAGTGAGATGTACGAACGCTATGTGTTTACTGATGTATACGTACTCAGTTTGTAATGACACAATAACCATAACGCGTTGTTCATTATAAACGTGGGATTATGAATTATATTGAGAATGTCGTACATAGAAAACATGCCGTAATGTACCCTGAGTATAAACCTTAGCCGCATTCATCGTGACGCGTGCAGCTAGCGATTTGCAAAGATTAATATAAAGGTTATTAAAACTTCACACTCACTTCTTCTGGAGGTGCAGCAGGGACATGAATAGTTGGTACCGATTCTTTTTTCAGGAGCAGCTTCTTAGCAAAACCAGCTTTATACTGAGTCCGACCCTCGTTTATAAAGCAGTCTGGTGAGAAATGATTCGCGAATCACGCAAACATGAACGCATTGACGTTGATCGTGGGGAATATTCCCTTCGACAACAAAACTCAGCCACTGTGTCTTCAGCGGTTCAGATTTAGGAACATCAAAATGACTGTGTTCGTTATTACACCCAAGAACAGAACACCACAATCGCTTAGACACCATTCTGCTCCAGTGTATCAACAATGACGGACTATGATGAGAGCTCGCTCAGGGGTCTGTGTTGAAACGCTGCTGCCAATCAACAGTCGTGGGAGGGGCGTCTGACCGGCTCGATTTGAGGCAGGGGAAAACATATAAGGAGATTAAAACAAAAATACTGGATAGATTTTTATCATTATATGATGGTTATGTACAGGCACTGCCAACACACATTTCAGTACAATCAACTTGAAAAAGTGCATGTACCATTATATGACCCCTTTAAATAATGCAAAACCAAAGAAAATAATAATAATAGAGTTAAAAGCTATAGAGTTCAAGAGACTAAAAATCTGTGATGAATGAATGTTTCAAATACAAGCGTCAACAAAATCAGAGACAGATCATCTTACTGAGACACTACATCTGAAAAACGTCAATCATAGAGCTGATATATTTAAAAACGAATGTCCAAACACTAATAATCATTAAAAGGCTGAGATGTGTTAATTTGTTCAAAAATGTATAAAGATAATTTGTCGAGAGTGATTTTGTACACAGAGCAGCAAAAGCTCAGATAACATTCTGGATGTCGTCTGTCATAGATTTGTGCTTAAAAGACATAAAAGTTAAAGTTAAAGTTTAGAGACTAGAAGAGAGGGACTATGATAGCGAGAGAGAGAGGGAGAGATAGAGAGCGAGAGAGAGACGGACAGGCGCAGCTGCAGGACTCACGCCCCTCCCCAGCCAGGCTCACACTGACAGAGAGAGAGAGAGAGAGAGAGAGAGAGAGAGACTCACCGCTGGAGCAGTCGGCCCCTCCCCAGCCCGGCTCACACTGACAGGTGTTCGGGGCCACACAGCGGCCATGCACACATTTCTCAGCACAGTGGGCTACAGAGAAAACGAGAGAGCAGGTCAGATTTCAGTCCTTCTATGAGAAGAGCAGCAAACAAACACGAGGAGAAACCACAGAAAACCCCATCAGACACACAGACTGTGATGCTCGGACTTCTGTGCGCCAGAAGAAGTTATTATTAGAGAGTAATGATGATAATAGTTCAAGTTTCCCTGAGATGAACAGTAACTCAATGATGAGGAGAGACAGCATGTGATTACAGTCAGTGTCATACAAAAGACTCTTTCAGGCCCAATAAAATTCAGGCTCTTTCTGTCCATCCATCTATCTATCTATCTATCTATCTGTCTGTCTGTCTATCTATCTATCTATCTGTCTGTCTGTCTATCTATCTATCTATCTGTCTGTCTGTCTGTCTGTCTGTCTGTCTGTCTATCTGTCCGTCCATCTATCTATCTATCTATCTATCTATCTATCTATCTATCTATCTATCTATCTGTCCGTCCGTCCGTCCGTCCGTCCGTCCGTCCGTCCGTCCGTCCGTCCGTCCGTCCGTCCGTCCGTCCGTCCGTCCGTCCGTCCGTCCGTCCATCCATCCATCCATCCATCCATCTATCTATCTATCTATCTATCTATCTATCTATCTATCTATCTATCTATCTATCTATCATATCCATCTATCTATCTATCTATCTATCTATCATATCTATCTATCTATCTATCTATCTATCTATCTATCATATATCTATCGATCTATCAATCTATATACTGTATCTATCTATCTATCTATCATATATCTATCTATCTATCTATCTGTCTGTCTGTCTGTCTGTCTGTCTATCTTATCTGTCTGTCTATCTTAACTGTATGCCTGTCTGTCTGTCTATCATCGGTTTGTGATCAGTTGTGGTTTGAGTTTGTGAGTCTAGAGTATTGTAAGTCCTTCAGAGTTTCTCCAGGTTCAGAGAGTAATACTCAGTGATACTCACGAACACATATGTCTCTGCTTTCGTAGAAGCCGGGGCAGCACTGGGACCTGCGGCGATGCATGGTCTTCTCCCCGCGCCGGTAGGCCGTCCTGTAGCTCACCCTAAAACACAGAGGAAAAACCACACAGTTACTCATGCAAAGAATGTTTATGTTTATGTTTATTTCATTCATGGATATTTTCCATTGACTTACTAAATTACATATATGTAATTTATAATACCATGATGAAAAGGAGGCAGGATGAAGAATATCTCATATTTCCTGCCCCCTCCTGCATTTATCTACAGGTCATTCAATGTTATTTTACTGAATTTCATAAAGGAAATATGTAAAAGGGCTTTACAAAACGTATAAACGCTAAAATCTGAGTGTTGTTAAGCACACACACCTGTGCTGAGTGCATTTGAACCAGTTGAGGATGTCCGTGCAGCCGGTGTAGTAAACCTGATCAAACGGGTGAGCGTACGACTCCTGCACGGTCACTGAGTAACTGAAGAATACACACACACACACACACACATGAAGGCCACATCTCTGATATATGTGTGTGGTCCCATTACACTAATGGCTAATGAGAACAGCAGTTATCTGTGTATGAAAATGAAGTTGCTGACAAACTCCAGACAGAGTGTCACATGTTCATCGTGTGTGGGCTACTACTGCTACTAGATACATGTAGAAAACAAATCAATAAAACAACGGTTTACTTTAAAGCAGCTCTTATCTAGTTCTCCAGACACCTGTCTGTGGGTATGTGTGTGGCGTCTTTAAGATCTTCATAACAGCTCCACAAATTCCTGCTCCTCCAGTTAAACAGTTAATAGTGACAAAAGCTCTTTTGTTTCTTTTGTAACACTTGTGCCTGTCGGCTGTGTAGAGTAAAAAGAGCTTTACTTGTGTATAAAGGAGGAATATCAGTGTAAAAAGCAATAGCTATCTGCCAAACTAAAGTGTTCTTATTTCAACAATTCAACAAACAACAATTCAACAAAAAATTATTTTGGTCCTCACAGAACATTTTCCATAGTAAAGAAAAACTATACATAATAACCGAAAAAGGTGTGGGCTGAAGCCTTATTTGAGGCTTATACAGCCTATTTGACTGTATTGTGAGTGCTAGAGTATAATACATGTACATACTGCACATATAACGTATTTTGCTCTGAGCAGCAGTGTAAGTACAGTAAAACACTCACAGGATGATGTGAATGTGCTGAGAAGTCTCGCGTTTGGCGGTCACACATTCTCTGGTATAGGAAACTCTTGCGCAGCGCACAGCTGTTCCCACACATTACTGAGTGAAAGTAAATCTAGCTGGGAAACAAAACTCCATCTTTGTTCTTTTCAATCTGCTTTAATGGATTTCCGAGCCATTCCTTAATTTGGCCACGGACATCTCCTGCCTGTTAACACAGAATGTGTGTGTGTGTGTGTGTGTGTGTGTGTGTGTGTCTGTGTCTGTGTCTGTGTCTGTGTCTGTGTGTGTGTGTGTGTGTGTGTGTGTGTGTGTGTGTGTGTGTGTGTGTGTGTGTGTGTGTGTGTGTGTGTGAGTGTGTGTGTGTGTGTGTGTGTGTGTGTGTGTGTGTGTGTGTGTGTGTGTGTGTGTGTGTGAGGGTGTGTGTGTGTGTGTGTGTGTGTGTGTGTGTGAGTGTGAGAGTGATATAGTGAGATAGTGAGATTGTGAGTGAGATAGTGAGAGTGTGAGAGTAAGAGAGTGAGAGTTAGAGTGAGAGAGTGAGAGTGAGACTGAGAGAGTGAGAGTGAGAGTGAGTGAGAGAGTGAGAGTGAGAGAGAGAGAGAGAGTGAGAGTGAGAGAGTGAGAGTGAGAGTGTGAGTTAGAGTGAGAGAGTGAGAGTGTGAGAGAGTGAGAGTGAGAGTGAGAGAGTGAGAGTGTGAGTGTGAGTGAGAGAGTGAGAGTGAGAGTGAGAGTGTGAGAGTGAGAGTGAGAGTGAGAGTGAGAGAGTGAGAGTACAGCAGCGACTGGGCCTTACCAATAAACATGGAGTAGTCCAAAATAATGATCTTTTAGAAAAAACTCCCTTTACTGACAAGAAATATAAATTTACACTTGGGGGAACAATTCTTAATCATGTCACCTGTTATAATTATTTGGGTCTGACAATCTCAGCTTCTGGAAAATGTTACATTTTGACTTTGACTGAAGAAAACCCCAAATTTAAATTAAATTACGAATCCTTGGACAAAACCCCTGTTGAAATTTTCCACCTTGAGTTCTGCAAGAACCTCCTGAGAACTCACAGAAATGCTCCAAGTCTGGGTTGCCGGGCAGAATTAGGCAGATTCCCTGGGGCAGCGCTGGACCTGTCAGGGGCCCGAGACCCCAGCCCAGGACCACGGGGTTCGCCTCCCCTGGGCCGGACACAACGACTCTTCCTCCGCTCTCCCCACGCCAATCACTTACCCCACTTTCTGCCACTAGGGCGGCGGGGAGGCCTGGGCCGGCCTGCTGGCGTTGCGGGGACCCGGACCATTTTATAGACAGGTGTCCGATGATGGATGTGGCGACAATGATCCGGGTCCCGGATGTCCCGCAGGCTGCCCACGATCAGGCTGGCCGGTACCAAATACCTGTGAGTATAAAGGGGGGTACCTATCAGGCTCTGGTGGATTCAGGACGTAACCAAACCTCGATCCACCAAAGCCTGATTCAATCTGAGGCATTGGATATGAGCCGCATGGTTCGGGTAAGGTGTGTACACGGGGATGTGGTCAAGTATCCGCTCATGTCTGCTATGATTCAATTTAAGGGTCAAAAACATAGTGTAGAGGTGGCAGTTAACCCGCACCTCCGACATCCGCTAATTCTGGGAACCAGAAAAGCCGTCTTTTACTGAATTATTGGGGTTATTATGTGCGGATGTCTCTTGTGGAAAAAGAAAGCAGGAAAAGGGCGTGGCTGTGCGGGTGGGAGAGGCTGAACCGGGACCACCGGAACTGTTACCAGGGGAACAGAGCGCAATCGAGAGACAGATTCTCTCGGAGCGTGATGATTTTCACCTGGAACAGTCTCAGGATGAGTCACTAAAACATGCTTTTGAACAGGTCCGTGCCATCGACGGTCAACCTCTTCAACCCGCTCGTCCGCTCACCTATCCATATTTTGCCATTCTTAAGGACAGGTTGTATCGAGTGATACAAGACACTCAAACAAAACAAATTACAACCCAGTTATTAGTGCCAAAGAGCCGTCGGGAAATGCTTTTCCAGGGGACTCATTCTAATCCCATGGCTGGACACTTAGGGCAAATAACGACACTTAACCGTCTCACGGCCCGATTCTTTTGGCCGGGCATTCACGAGACCATGCGCAGGTGGTGCACGGTGTGTCGTGAATGTCAGCTGGTAAATCCGCCGATCGCCCCAAAAGCGTCATTGCGCCCTCTTCCTCTGATGCAGGTCCCCTTTGAATGAATTGCGATGGACCTCATCGGGCCATTAGAATGGTCGGCACGGGGACATCGCTTTGCATTAGTAATAGTGGACGATGCAACGCGATATCCCGAGGCAGTGGCGCTCCGCAGCATCTCCGCTAAGAGTGTAGCGGATGCCCTGTTTCGTTTAATCTCCCGAGTGGGGATCCTGAAAGAGATCCTCACTGATCAGGGCACGGCGTTTATGTCACGTACATTACGCGAGCTTTACGAATGATTGGGCATTAAATCGATTCGCACCGGCGTCTATCACCCACAAACGGACGGCCTGGTGGAACGATTTAATCGCACGTTAAAGACCATGATTCGTAAATTCGTTCACGAAGACGCCAAAAATTGGGATAAGTGGTTGGAGCCTCTGTTGTTTGCTGTGCCCGAGGTCCCGCAAGCCTCCACAGGGTTTTCCCCCTTCAAGCTCCTTTATGGATGTCAACCCTGTGGGGTGTTAGACGTTCTAAAGGAAACTTGGGAGGAAGGACCTTCGGAGAGTCGTAACGAAATTCAGTATGTCCTGGACCTGAGAACAAAACTCCACACTTTGGGGCGGCTCTCAATGGAGAATTTGTTACAGGCTCAGGACAGACAGACCCAGTTATACAATAGGGGAACAAAACTAAGAGAATTTTCACCGGGAGATAAAGTCCTTGTATTGCTTCCTGCTTCGAGTTCCAAATTACTCTCGAAGTGGCAAGGGCCCTTTGAGGTCACACAGCGAGTCGGGGATCTCAATTATGAGGTGCTTCGAACGGATAGGAACGGAACGGGGCACGTCAAATTTACCACCTCAACCTCCTCAAAAAGTGGAGTGCATTAGTGAGTAGTGCAGAAGAGGATCTCGGGCCCGAGGCGAATTATAAATTCCATCTCTCGCGCTGGCTCCGGGAGGAGATCATCTTTCGCCGTCCCAAATTACTGACGGTCGAACAAATCTCATTCAGCACCATATTGAGACCGAGCCGGGTGTGGTGGTGCGCAGCCGGCCGTATAGATTACCTGAACACAAAAAAAAGTGGTTCAGTCTGAATTAGAGGCGATGCATGAGATGGGGGTAATAGAAGAATCCCACAGTAATTGGGCGAGCCCGATAGTCTTAGTACCTAAAACGGATGGCTCGGTTCGTTTCTGTGTGGATTACCGCAAGGTTAATGCTGTGTCGAAGTTCGACGCGTATCCAATGCCACGGATTGACGAACTGCTTGATCGGCTTGGCACTGCTCGCTTTTATTCGACACTGGACTTAACTAAAGGGTACAGGCAGATCCCCTTATCGCCTCTATCTAAAGAAAAGACAGCCTTTACAACCCCGTTCGGATTACACCAATTCGTTACACTTCCGTTTGGGTTATTCGGGGCTCCAGCCACGTTCCAGCGTCTCATGGACAGGATTCTACGGCCACATGCTGCATATGCCTATCTGGATGACATAGTCATTTATAGTAATGACTGGCAGCACCATATGGGGCGTGTGCGCGCTGTGCTGAGAGTGCTGAGACTGGCTAGGCAGACGGCCAACCCAAAGATGTGTGCGGTTGGGCGTGTAGAGGTCAGGTATCTGGGGTTCCACTTGGGTCACGGGTAGGTGCGTCTCCAAATTGATAAGACAGCAGCCGTTGCAACGTGCCCGAGACCCAAGACCAAAAAGGAGGTGAGACAGTTCCTGAGGCTGGCGAGATATTATAGAAGGTTTGTGCCTAATTATTCGGACCTCGCCAGCCCGCTGACTGATCTCACTAAAAAGGAATCACCAGATCCAGTTCAGTGGACGGAGCAGTGTCAGCAGACTTTCACTCAGGTAAAGGCTGCTCTATGTGGTGGGCCGCTCTTACAGGCTCCTGATTTTTCTCTCCCTTTCTTGTTGCAGACTGACGCGTCGGACAGGGGGCTGGGAGCAGTCCTGTCCCAGGAGATGGAGGGAGAGGAGGGGCCGGTGCTGTACATTAGTCGTAAGCACTTAGTCGTAATTAAGAAGGAATGTTTAGCCATCAGATGGGCCATCCTCACCCTCCGGTATTATCTCCTGGGGCGGGAATCCACCCTCTGTTCAGACCACGCGCCTCTCCAATGGCTCCACCGCATGAAGGATACCAACGCGGGAATCACCCGTTGGTATCTAGCTTTACAGCCCTTTAAGTTCCAGGTGGTCCACAGGCCGGGTGCACAGATGGCTGTGGCTGACTTCCTCTCCAGGAGGGGGGGGGGCTGTAGGCCGGACGGCTCCCCGGCCTGAGTCGGGCAGTGGGGGTATGTGGCAAGGGGGGCGTGGTTCAGCAAAGTCTGTGACAGGAGAGAGGATCAGGAGACAGGTGCGGCGTGAGTGGGTTAAGTGTGAATGACAAACACCTGTGTCTTGTTTCAGTAATTGGCGTGGGGAGACCGATAAAAGCCACGAGGAAATGAGATGCCGGGAGAGAGACCAGTGGAGATCTGTGGGGGATCGGACGAACAGCTGAGAGCAGCGGAAAGAGTGCGAAGAGAACGCCGAGAGCGGAAAATGTGCGAGCGAATTGAGTGACAGCTGATACTAGTGAATTGAGTTTGTTTACATAGTGCGGTGTGTGCAACTTTGAGTTTGTTCAGTTTATTTTTGGTTCAAATAAAAACCCACAGTCTCCACAAGCCGACCTTGTCCTCTTCCTTCCCTGAAACTTGAACTTTGCTACAGTGACTTTCAAATGAAAGATTGGTATCAAAGAGCACACCCAGGTTCCTAACCGACGACGAGGACTGGACAGAGCAGCCATCAAGTGTTAGACAGTATTCTAGGTTATTACGTGAGGAAGTTTTTTGTCCAATAATTAGAATCTCTGTTTTTTTAGAATTTAGTAGTAGGAAATTACTAGTCATCCAGTTTTTTATATCAGCTGTGCATTCCGTTAATTTTGTGAATTGGTAAGTTTCGTCAGGGCGTGAAGAAATATACAGCTAAGTATCATCGGCATAACAGTGAAAGCTAATTCCATGTTTCCTAATGATATCTCCCAAGGGTAGCATGTACAGAGTGAACAGCAGTGGTCCTAGTACTGAGCCTTGTGGTACGCCATACTGAACTTGTGATCGATATGACATGTCTTCATTTAGTGACCCCATGCAATATTTAGTGGAAAAACATCAACTTAATTCAACAATTCAGTTCAGACACTCAAAAGTAAAAGAAATATACTAAAGAAGAATACATACACGAGGGAGAGAGCTCAGACTGTGTTCACACTGCTCTGATGGGGCCGTAGAGGACGAGCTGCACTTCCTCCGAGTGCAGCAAGTATTAAAACATTAGAGACACTTATTTCACACAAATAGCACAGATTTTACCTCAATTCCAACAAGCGACCCTCATAAACAAACTGTCTTATATTTTGGGAGAGAAAGAAGAGTGTATTCACCGGGCAGCGGTGTGTGTCTTCCTGCCATCATATGAGGGAGAAGGGCTGAATCCTCTTTTCCCTTTAAACTACTCCCTGTACTTATTTTTTATTTTATTTTTTTTATTGTGATATATATATGTATAATATGGAAATGTTTTTATTTTATTTATTTGTATCTATATGTATATGTCTATTGCTTTGGCAATATTGTGCTATTTTACACAGTCATGTCAATAAAGTTCATTTGAAATTAAAATTGAGTGTGAGAGTAAGTGTGTGTGCGTGCATGTGTGTTCGTGTGTGCGTGCATGTGTGTTCGTGTGCGCGCGTGTGTGTGTGCGTGTGTGTGTGTGTGTGTGTCACCTCTCCCAGTGACTGCAGACATTCGGGTCATCCAGGTTGAGTGATGATGTCAGAGCAATCATACAGCATGAGACAGCCAATAGAAGAGGACTACAGGATGACATCATTACTGGAAACACCTTCATACAAACACAAAACACACTGGATATAGTTTGCATTCACTCACATATACACATCACAAGAGCTTCATTTTCAATTGTAATAATAATAATAATGACCTGTATCACTGAAATAGTGTATAGTCTAGTATTTGTCCAAATGTTACAGCAAGTTTAATTGAAAATGACTTTGGTTCACAACCTCACGGGGGAAATAAAGCGGTTTCCGATGATCTCTGTGGGTGCTGCGTGTGGGAAATCAAATCCAGATAGGACTGCCTGATTGTGGTATATTCGTTTTTCTTTTTCTCATTTATAGTGACCTTTCTCAAATACTAAAAATACTAAAGCTGATGTGCTCCATCACTATGAGTTTAGAGAAGTCTTATGGGTAAATTTGGTGGTTCAAGAACTGCTGGCATCCCATCCAATGGAAAAGAAAATTAAATTTATTAAGGAGCCACAATAGAAACGGCATCATATCAACATGTTAATTTATGTTTATACAGCATTATATACATACATTTAATGAATTCTGCACATACAGTATATGCATGCGCTAAAGAGAGCGGATAGGCTTTATCCCTCACTCCTCCTCCAGACCCTGTGTGAGCAGTGCAGACGTGCACACGAGCAGAAGTGTGTGCAGACGTGTGTGCAGACGTGTTGAAGTGCAGACGGGTGTGCAGACGTGTTGAAGTGCAGACGTGTGTGCAGGCGTGTTGAAGTGCAGACGTGTTGAAGTGCAGACGTGTGTGCAGACGTGTTGAAGTACAGACGTGTTGAAGTGCAGACGTGTTGAAGTGCAGACGTGTTGAAGTGCAGACGTGCAGAAGTGCAGACGTGTTGAAGTGCAGACGTGTGTGCAGACGTGTCGAAGTGCAGACGTGTTGAAGTGCAGACGTGTTGAAGTGCAGACGTGTTGAAGTGCAGATGTGTTGAAGTGCAGACGTGCAGTGCAGACGTGTTGAAGTGCAGACGTGCAGTGCAGACGTGTTGAAGTGCAGACGTGTTAAAGTGCAGACGTGTTGAAGTGCAGACGTGTGTGCAGACGTGTTGAAGTGCAGACGTGTTGAAGTGCAGACGTGTTGAAGTGCAGACGTGTTGAAGTGCAGACGTGCAGTGCAGACGTGTGTGCAGATGTGTTGAAGTGCACACGTGCAGAAGTGCAGACGTGTTGAAGTGCAGACGTGCAGAAGTGCAGACGTGTTGAAGTGCAGACGTGCAGAAGTGCAGACGTGTGTGCAGACGTGTTGAAGTGCAGACGTGCAGAAGTGCAGACGTGTTGAAGTGCAGAGGTGTGTGCAGACGTGTTGAAGTGCAGACGTGTTGAAGTGCAGACGTGTTGAAGTGCAGACGTGTTGAAGTGCAGACGTGCAGACGTGTTGAAGTGCAGACGTGTTGAAGTGCAGACGTGCAGACGTGTTGAAGTGCAAACGTGTTGAAGTGCAGACGTGTTGAAGTGCAGACGTGTTGAAGTGCAGACGTGTTGAAGTGCAGACGTGTTGAAGTGCAGAAGTGCAGACGTGTTGAAGTGCAGACGTGTGTGCAGACGTGTTGAAGTGCAGACGTGTGTGTAGACGTGTTGAAGTGCAGACGTGTTGAAGTGCAGACGTGTTGAAGTGCAGACGTGTTGAAGTGCATACGTGTTGAAGTGCAGACGTGTTGAAGTGCAGACGTGCAGACGTGTTGAAGTGCAGACGTGTTGAAGTGCAGACGTGTTGAAGTGCAGACGTGCAGACGTGTTGAAGTGCAGACGTGCAGACGTGTTGAAGTGCAGACGTGCAGACCTGTTGAAGTGCAGACGTGTTGAAGTGCAGACGTGCAGACGTGTTGATGTGCAGACGTGTGTGCAGACGTGTATGCAGACGTGTTAAAGTGCAGACGTGTTGAAGTGCAGACGTGTTGAATAATAATAATGACCTGTATCACTGAAATAGTGTATAGTCTAGTATTTGTCCAAATGTTACAGCAAGTTTAATTGAAAATGACTTTGGTTCACAACATCACGGGGGAAATAAAGCGGTTTCCGATGATCTCTGTGGGTGCTGCGTGTGGGAAATCAAATCCAGATAGGACTGCCTGATTGTGGTATATTCGTTTTTCTTTTTCTCATTTATAGTGACCTTTCTCAAATACTAAAAATACTAAAGCTGATGTGCTCCATCACTATGAGTTTAGAGAAGTCTTATGGGTAAATTTGGTGGTTCAAGAACTGCTGGCATCCCATCCAATGGAAAAGAAAATTAAATTTATTAAGGAGCCACAATAGAAACGGCATCATATCAACATGTTAATTTATGTTTATACAGCATTATATACATACATTTAATGAATTCTGCACATACAGTATATGCATGCGCTAAAGAGAGCGGATAGGCTTTATCCCTCACTCCTCCTCCAGACCCTGTGTGAGCAGTGCAGACGTGCACACGAGCAGAAGTGTGTGCAGACGTGTGTGCAGACGTGTTGAAGTGCAGACGGGTGTGCAGACGTGTTGAAGTGCAGACGTGTGTGCAGGCGTGTTGAAGTGCAGACGTGTTGAAGTGCAGACGTGTGTGCAGACGTGTTGAAGTGCAGACGTGTTGAAGTGCAGACGTGTTGAAGTGCAGACGTGTTGAAGTGCAGACGTGTTGAAGTGCAGACGTGCAGAAGTGCAGACGTGTTGAAGTGCAGACGTGTTGAAGTGCAGACGTGTTGAAGTGCAGACGTGCAGAAGTGCAGATGTGTTGAAGTGCAGACGTGTTGAAGTGCAGACGTGTTGAAGTGCAGACGTGTTGAAGTGCAGACGTGTTGAAGTGCAGATGTGTTGAAGTGCAGACGTGCAGTGCAGACGTGTTGAAGTGCAGACGTGTTGAAGTGCAGACGTGTTGAAGTGCAGACGTGTGTGCAGACGTGTTGAAGTGCAGACGTGTTGAAGTGCAGACGTGTTGAAGTGCAGACGTGTTGAAGTGCAGACGTGTTGAAGTGCAGACGTGTTGAAGTGCAGACGTGTTGAAGTGCAGACGTGTTGAAGTGCAGACGTGCAGTGCAGACGTGTTGAAGTGCAGACGTGTTAAAGTGCAGACGTGTTGAAGTGCAGACGTGCAGAAGTGCAGACGTGTTGAAGTGCAGACGTGCAGAAGTGCAGACGTGTTGAAGTGCAGACGTGCAGAAGTGCAGACGTGTTGAAGTGCAGACGTGCAGAAGTGCAGAAGTGCAGACGTGTGTGCAGACGTGTTGAAGTGCAGACGTGCAGAAGTGCAGACGTGTTGAAGTGCAGAGGTGTGTGCAGACGTGTTGAAGTGCAGACGTGTTGAAGTGCAGACGTGTTGAAGTGCAGACGTGCAGACGTGTTGAAGTGCAGACGTGTTGAAGTGCAGACGTGCAGACGTGTTGAAGTGCAGACGTGTTGAAGTGCAGACGTGTTGAAGTGCAGACGTGTTGAAGTGCAGACGTGTTGAAGTGCAGACGTGTTGAAGTGCAGACGTGTTGAAGTGCAGACGTGTTGAAGTGCAGACGTGTTGAAGTGCAGACGTGTTGAAGTGCAGAAGTGCAGACGTGTTGAAGTGCAGACGTGTGTGCAGACGTGTTGAAGTGCAGACGTGTGTGTAGACGTGTTGAAGTGCAGACGTGTTGAAGTGCAGACGTGTTGAAGTGCAGACGTGCAGACGTGTTGAAGTGCAGACATGTTGAAGTGCAGACGTGTTGAAGTGCAGACGTGTTGAAGTGCAGACGTGTTGAAGTGCAGACGTGTTGAAGTGCAGACGTGTTGAAGTGCAGACGTGTTGAAGTGCAGACGTGTTGAAGTGCAGACGTGTTGAAGTGCAGACGTGTTGAAGTGCAGACGTGTTGAAGTGCAGACGTGTTGAAGTGCAGACGTGTTGAAGTGCAGACGTGTTGAAGTGCAGACGTGTTGAAGTGCAGAAGTGCAGACGTGTTGAAGTGCAGAAGTGCAGACGTGTTGAAGTGCAGACGTGTGTGCAGACGTGTTGAAGTGCAGACGTGTTGAAGTGCAGACGTGTTGAAGTGCAGACGTGCAGACGTGTTGAAGTGCAGACGTGTTGAAGTGCAGACGTGTTGAAGTGCAGACGTGTTGAAGTGCAGACGTGTGTGCAGACGTGTTGAAGTGCAGACGTGTGTGCAGACGTGTTGAAGTGCAGACGTGTTGAAGTGCAGACGTGTTGAAGTGCAGACGTGTTGAAGTGCAGAGGTGTTGAAGTGCAGACGTGTTGAAGTGCAGACGTGTTGAAGTGCAGAAGTGTTGAAGTGCAGACGTGTTGAAGTGCAGACGTGTGTGTAGACGTGTTGAAGTGCAGACGTGTTGAAGTGCAGACGTGCAGACGTGTTGAAGTGCAGACGTGTTGAAGTGCAGACGTGTTGAAGTGCAGACGTGCAGACGTGTTGAAGTGCAGACGTGTTGAAGTGCAGACGTGTTGAAGTGCAGACGTGTGTGTAGACGTGTTGAAGTGCAGACGTGTTGAAGTGCAGACGTGCAGACGTGTTGAAGTGCAGACGTGTTGAAGTGCAGACGTGTTGAAGTGCAGACGTGTTGAAGTGCAGACGTGTTGAAGTGCAGACGTGTTGAAGTGCAGACGTGTTGAAGTGCAGACGTGTTGAAGTGCAGAAGTGCAGACGTGTTGAAGTGCAGACGTGTTGAAGTGCAGAAGTGCAGACGTGTTGAAGTGCAGACAAGTTGAAGTGCAGACGTGTTGAAGTGCAGACGTGTGTGCAGACGTGTTGAAGTGCAGACGTGCAGAAGTGCAGACGTGCAGACGTGTTGAAGTGCAGACGTGTTGAAGTGCAGACGTGTTGAAGTGCAGACGTGTAGACGTGTTGAAGTGCAGACGTGCAGACGTGTTGAAGTGCAGACGTGTTGAAGTGCAGACGTGTTGAAGTGCAGACGTGTTGAAGTGCAGACGTGTTGAAGTGCAGACGTGTTGAAGTGCAGAAGTGCAGACGTGTTGAAGTGCAGACGTGTTGAAGTGCAGAAGTGCAGACGTGTTGAAGTGCAGACAAGTTGAAGTGCAGACGTGTTGAAG